CTCCACCCGCTGTCCCTGTGGCGCAGTCTGCACTGCGCCGCCGCCCCATTTGTGCACGCCCCTCGCGCGCTTCGTGGCCCCATGGCCCCAGTGGCGCAGTCCGCGCGGCAGCGCCGCCGCACTTTGGCGCGCTCCTCGCGCGCTTCGTGGTGCCACTGGCGCAGTCCGCATGCCGCCGCCGCCCCTTTTATTGGTACACCCGTCGCGCGTTTCGTGGCCCTACAGGGAGGTCTACCTATGGCCCTATTGGCAAGGATGTCGCAGGAGAAACGCTCATGATTTAAACGAGTTGTTCAAACAATCGAATTGTTCGGCGGCGTGCCAGGCGATAGCTGGACATTAGCGAAATGCGCCGCTGAAGGGGGGGGGGTCGCGAGGGCGACGCCGGCGACCTGTCGCGCAACTAACTGGACACAGGAGCACAGGCCAACATGCGGGCCCAACTGGGCCGTTCAACACTAAACGAGTTTGGGCGTGCAGTGCAAAACGCCACACTCAGGACTGGACCGCGTACTCGTCAGGCGCATTCATATACCAAGCGCTGGCCCCCCGTGCGTCCGCAACGGACGCCGCGGCAAGACGGCGTGCCAGTCGACGCCTGTTGCTCGACTTCGTCATGGGCCCAATCGGCTCCATAATCTGTAAGATCAAGAGCAAGTCCGCTGATTCGAATGCGCATGCAGCTACCCTCCCAACAACATCAGCTGATCTCATAATGCCGTGCACGTGGAACTCTTTGCCGTCAGATCGGACGGCTTTGGCCAGCGAGACATGTGGAAATTCCCGAGGCGAGGTGCGCTTGCCAACGAGGCCGTTGGATCTCCCGAAGTGCGTTGAATTATTTGGCAAGCAGGCTCGCCGGCAAAGACCGTTCCCAAGGGTGGGTGTCACCCACGTGTTCGGCAGCCTCCTTGGCCCGAAGGTTCAACCTCTCCACCGCAAACATATCCACGACGCACCGATCATTGAGAAACTGGTCGGGGGCGTGGAAAGAAGCATGGTGCTCTGGGATAAATTTGCCCACGCCGCACGCCACCTTAAACTTATCGGCGTGGCGCCGCAAAGCACCGCGCAATGATGCGGCCGCATTCTGGAACACAAGGCCCGACGATCGCTTGGCAGTCATGCGCAAGTCAACTACCTCGCACGCCGCCTCGAACGATTCCCGCTGCAACCCGGCGCGGGCGTCGTGACCCAAATGGCACCCCACATAATGCCGCAGAAGCGCGTACAAACTGATGTGTTCGCTGGCTTTGGCGATGACGCTACCTTTTCGTTCATTGTGGGCCGAGAAAGTGTCATGTAGTTCAGAATGCTTCGCGCCGCGCCGTTTTGGGAAGGGCCAGTCCGCCTTCGTCAAATCACGCCAGAAGAGAATTGAAACCCCATGCCTTCGCACGGCTTGGCAAACAACGAACGCTCCCTTGCAAACGTTCCGTGCGCAAGCACGTCGTGCGCCCAATCGGTGCGACTGACAGAGCGCATGCCAAGGTCCTCGCAGAGACGAGCGTCGGCCTGCAGCGAGTAGGGGTTCGGTTTGAGACCAAGTCCCGGAACTATTTCCGTACATTCCCGCTGGTTGATTTCGCCGTTGTCGAATTGACTTTGTGCCTTGATCACAGTGGACAGTACAACGATCATCTGATCCTTGTCCAGCGGTCTGAACTGAGCAGCGCCCCCGCACGCGATGCTAACCTCGCCATGTACCAAGGGCAAGGTATTGTCCATACGTTTGAACAGAACAGGCACGGCTTGTGAGAACTAGCCCCTTCCCCAGTCGCAGCGCATCCGAAAACCATCAAAATCCGACAGCTCAATGTTCACTCTCGCAGAAAGTTGGAAGAGTTGGCCATGCAGCATCAATGGGCAGCCAGCCTTCGAAAACGAGAGGTCACCAATAATCAGCATGTGCAGCAACATCCGAAACATCCGAGCCAACCGCCAATCGCGTCCCCGATGTGCGAACGTCATCCACGTCATTTCGTGACACAGCGCAGCGGGGCCAACCTCCATGCCGTTAAATGACGTCACCATTTTTATATGCGGTTCGATGTTGTTTGTTCTTGTCCCCCGTCGTGAATTCATCGGATCCTATGATGATGTTCCAGGGCGTGTCTGGGCCGCACGGAGCGGCATTGGCCGCTTGGGCGAAGAGTTTTTTGAGCTCGGTCGACGCGTAGGCCATCTTTTGCAGCAGGAGCGACGGTTCTGAGACCTCCCACTTGAAAGGGCGTTCTTCTTTTTCCAACTCGATCAAACTGCCGCGCAACACGTTTCAATCTAATGTGGTTTGTCTCCAGCAGCGCTAATTTCGCAGGCGCGGCGTCAACATCTAGCTTAGACAAGATCGTAGCAAGTCCACCAATTGTCACGTTCCCCTGTGCGCAACAAATATTGAGCTCCCAAACGCGTGTTCATGTACAGTGAACTGAGTGAAATGTTTGTGCCACAACGGTTGCAATGGACAGGGATGGGAGGGATTTGGCAGGGTGTCAGATGTTGACGCGAGGGCAATTCAGCCGTCTGAGGTTCCACAGGGAAATAGATGCGTGGCTATTGCTGGGGCCGTTCAAGCTTTGTTGAACCCCATGCCGGCACAGGAAACTTTAAGTCGAGAGCGGGCTTCACTCCGAGTCCGATTCCGACCCCTCGACGACCTCAAACGTGATCTTGAGGCGGCGCTTGGCGCACCTCTCGACATTCAGGTCTGGGTCGCTCACCGTGTCGCGGAACACCGATTGCACGTCGACGTCGCAGGGGATGTGGTTGAGGTTTGTGTCGGGCTGCTGCATGGCAACTTTGCGTTTCTGGTTTGGGTGCTTTGCTTTCTTCTTTTCGGAATCGCCCTTGCTCGCCATGGGTGAGTCCGTGTCATCCTGTGCGGCTGGGGCTTCCTCCTCGTCGGTCAAGCCTCATGTTTGCGTCCTCAATGCATCCTCCTCGGCAACGGTCTCGTGCAGTTTCGGAGGCGTGACCCCCTCGAGCTCGGGAGGCGGCTCCACGGGTGCCCCAGCCGCCGCCATCGCTACAGGAGGGGGGCGGACAGCAATTCGAGCACCAATGGGCAAGCTTGGGCCAGCTCACCGACTACGGCCCTCCAGCGACCCCCTGTGGGCCCTCCAAAGGCCCCCTGTTTGGGCTCTTCTGAGGCCCCCCCCGAAAAAGCATTTGGCCCCGCGCAAGAGGGCTCTGAATTCCTGGCGGCACTTCGCTTGAGTGCTGCTACTGCTCCTCATCCCCACATCCCCACATCCTCCCCCTCATCCCCAAATCCTGTCCCCCCCCCCCTCCTCCTCCTCCTCCTCGTGCCCGCCCTCCCCCAATTCCTGCGCCAGGTGGCGCTGTGCTTGCACCGCGCGCGGAGCAACTCAGGTTGATGTTGCTACTTCAGATTTCGTAATAAAATGGAGGGGGCCTGGACCCTCCAAGACAAGCCATTTCAGACCTCCCCCATGGGAGAACCCTCCAAAACATCGTCCCCAGACCCCCCAGGCCCTCCAAGATAGCCTGGAAGAGACCCCCCCTCGAAATGAGACCCCCCTCCCTTTATTACGAAATCTGGAGTATATGTCACTCCTATCAAACCAAACCTCTCAGCCAGAGTGGTTTTCAGCATGGGACTGCCGCGGAGGGCCCAGAGGGGGAGGAGGAGGGGGAGGAGAAGGATGAGAAGGAGGAGGAGGAGGAGGAGGAGGAGGAGGAGGAGGAGGGCGAGGAGGAGGGCGAGGAGGAGGAGGAGGAGGACGCTCTCGCCCTGGCGCCGCGGCCAGCCGGCTCCCAGCTGCTGCAGCAGCTGCACGGGCGGAGGGCGGCCGGTCTTCCAGCATGGGACAAAGGGGGGGCCGCTCTCGGGACCGAGGGCGGCCCATCTCAGGGCGCGGATGGGGGGCGGCCCGTCTTCAGAATGGGTGGGGGGAGTACCGTCCTCCTCCTCGTCCTCCTCCTCCTCCTCTTCCCTCCTCCTCCTCCTTCTCCTCCTCCTCCTCCTCTTCCTCCTCCTGCTCCTCCTCCTCCTCGTCCTCCTCCTCCGCTTCCTCCTCTTCCTCCTGTTCCTCCTCCTCCTCCTCCCTGCAACGCCCCCCTGGGCCTCATGAAGCTGCACTGGTCGCAGGGAACCGGGGCCCAGGGCGCCGATGAATGTCGTGTTTTTTTCAGCGCGGGGTCCCCGGAAGTCTCGACCCACCCCTCGGGACCGGTTTTTCATCCCGAGTCGTCTTCTGACGGTCCTGGGGCCCGGCGAGGGCCCCTATAGGGGCCGCAATTTGCGACAACAAACGCCGTCTCGATCTTGTCAATGCGTTGGATCTCTGGGCACTTCTCCCGACGGAACCCTGGACTTTATGATCTCCGGGGCGTTCCTACAGTCGGGGCCCTGAAGAAGGAACCCTTTTCGTTGGGGAGGGGCTCCGTGTTCCTTAAGTGTTTCGCAGCTTGCCGCAGGTTTTCCTTAGGGTTTCGATCGGAAATCGAAGTTGAACTTCTGGAAAATAGGGGCCTCGCTCCTTATTTAGGGCTCCTTAGGTCAACGCCCCGACTGTATCCCGACGGAACCCCCGACTTTATGACCTCCGGGGCGTTCCTGTCCGGGGCTTTCGGTCCTCCTCGCCCGGGCTGCGCCTACATCAGGAGGGAAAGAAACACACAGACACAATTCATCGGCGATTCCCCAGGAAATATGGGAAACTAGGGGAAGTGGGGGGGAAGACAAACACCCAGAAAACATGGGAGACTATGGGGACTATTTTTATGTGTGTGTGTGTGTTTCTTTGTGTGCCCTGGGGCCCCTTTCTTTACAGGACGCCCTGGCCGCGGCATTCGCCCTGGCTTCGCCTGCAGTTACCAGCCTGGAACATATCCCTATCCCTATGCTGGGCACCTCCTCATCACGATGCCAATCTTAGGGATTCCCTTATTTTTTGAGGGCGAATCCCTAAGATTGTCACCGCCTTTTGGCGTGTCAATCTTAAGGGATAGGGATACGTTCGAGGCTGGTAATACAGGACGCCCTGGCCGCGGCGGCGGCCGAGCACGGCGCCCGGCCGCTGCTGTGCGGGGACTTCGCCCTGGAGCCCCGCGAGCTGCTGCCGCGCCTCGCGGCGGCGGCGGCGGCCGCGGGCGGCGCGGCGCCGGCCTGGCACAGCGCGTGCTGGTCCCGGCACTTATTTGGACGCCCGAAATGGTTGGTAGTCCCCAAACGTGGTGGTGACAACACCTGGCGGTGAGTCTCGGGCGATTTGGTGTCACCACCCGGTTTGGGGACTCGTGCGGTTTTCCGAGGATGTCCCGGACACTGGTGGGTCCAGGAGTCACAAAACCCGGTGGTGACCCCGCGTCCCCAAACCCAGCGGTGACCTTTTTGGGGATTCCAGGTCGCCACCTGGTATCTCACCACCTGGTTTGGGGGTTCCCAAAATGGGCACGGAAAGAATGGGTACCATGCCCAACAACAAATGTTGTCCCAAGCCAACAGCGGCCGCTGTTGGGCAGGCGGCCTTCTGTCTCAGGCAGGTGGACATAGGCCGCGGCGGCGCGGACAGCGAGTCCTGTCCAAAGGGAGCAGGAACTGCTGTTGGGCATCGTACCCATTCTTTCCGTGCCCATCTCGTTCGTGCCAAACTTAGTGGGCCCTGGAAACGACAGGGCCGTTTTGTTACCGGTTCCGTTCTGCCGTTTTCTTGCCGGTTCCGACGCGCTGTTTTTTTACCGGTTCCGTCGCTGTTTTTTGACCGGTTTCGGCTCCGGTTCCAATCCTGGAGCCGTTTTTTTTGCCGTTTCTCGCTGTTGTTTGGCCGTTTCCATTTTCAAGGGACATTTTCTGGGAAACGGTGGAAAAAACGGCCCTGCCGTTTCTGGGGCCCACAAAGGCTGGTCCTGGCATCGCTCGGACGTGTGTGTGTGTGTGTGTGTGTGTGTGTGTGTGTGTGTGTGTGTGTGTGTGTGTGTGTGTGTGTGTGTGTGTGTGTTTTTCTTGGCGAGAAGCGTCGAGGACCATCCTGGGCCCTCGAGCAACAAAAAAAACACGCACGAAACTGGAAAATACACCGGGAATGGACGTCCGAGCGATGGCAAGTGGTCGTCTAAGAAGAAGAAGAAGAAGAAGAAGAAGAAAAAGAAGAAGAAGAAGAAGAAGAAGAAGAAAAAGAGGTATTGCATTTGGTCTCATCGCTTGTGCATTCGCTTTCTCCCCTCCCGCTGCCTCTTCCCCTCAAGCCTTTCTGCCGTGAACAGTTCATGGCCGCCTGGGTGCACGCTGCAGGCGGGTGGGTTCTCGGGGCGCTCTCCGAGCGCTGGACTGGACCTGGCCGCAGCGGGGTCGCCGAGGTCTCCTGCCGCTGCGTGTTCGAGGGCTCGGACACGACCGACGGCCTGGTGGCCATCCTCCGGGAGCAGCTGGCACGCTGCGGCCCGGAGCACCTGCAGGGGGTCGCGTGCCAGCCCTGCCCCCCGTGCCCGCTCCCGCCTGGGCACTACACGGGGCTCGACCTCTGCGGCGCGGCCGTGGTGGGCGTGGCCCTCGGCGCTGGGCTGGCGACCGCGGCCTGGCTGGCGGCTGGATCGCCGGGTCGGCCGGCGGTGCGGGCGCGCGCCCTCGCCGTCGAGGACGACGCCGGCGGCACGCACGTGGCGACGCCGTCGGCTCTCGGGCGAGGCCGGCGGGCTCCTGGTGCTCGTGCTGACTGAGGGCCGCCATGGCCCGTGCGCTGGACACGCCGTTCCGCCAGTGCCTCGTCAGGTACGAGGACGACGAGAACTTCCAGTGGCATCACCGTGTGCTGCTGGTAAAGGGAGACGCTCAGAAGTGGATCTGGCTCACGCCGGACGGGGAGGTGGCCTCCGTCGACTTGGCCACCTTTCGAGTGCTGGCCTTTCGGCGGTCGGGCCCTTTCCCAGCACGGCATGCTGGGAACATCTACGCCTTCGACGAAGTGGCGGCGGAGGACATGCAGGGCTACCTCGAGGAGGCCAGGGCCCTGGGCACGATCCTCGGCTTCGACCTCGCCGGCGTCGTGGGCCTCCCGGGGGACAAGTGGTACGTGAGCGACCCCACCTCGTCGCACTTCGGCGAGGAGGTGCCCCCCCAGGTCCTCGCCAACGAAGAGGTCCTGGTGCGGCGTGGGGATGTCGGGCTCGTTCGGCTCGACGACGTCTGGATCCACGCGATCAAGGTGAGCGAGGGCCAGAACTTCGACACGTACCTGGCCCGAGCTCGCGGGGGCGCGGGCCGGGACCCGCGTGTCGTGGGCGACGAGAGGGACCAGGACGGAGGCAGGTACATCGACTTCCGGGACTCGGTCCGCCGTATGAAGGAGGCGACGATCCCAGGTTGGCCTCTGCAGGGCCGCCGTGCCACGAGGGAAGCTGTGCTCTCCCTTCGAGACGGGGGTCAGGGCAACTGGGAGGAGCACCACACCACGTGGCTCCGACGCAGTGGAGTGGCCGAGCGCGGCAACGTCGCCCGCGAGCACCACATGATCTGCGTGTCTCTTCGGATGATGCAGCAGTTCGATCAGCTCGACCTGTTCAACATTGCGGGCGCAGAGTACCTCGTCAGGCGGCTCAAGCAGCTGGAGTCGGCGACCCGCAAGAACCCTCGGGCGCCCGACTTCGAGGGGCTGGACCTCATCCTCGACACGGGGGTCGACGACACGGGCGGCATGGTGCTGCCGGAGTGCGACGGATGGGTTGGCGACCAGGCGCGCGCCCGCGCCCAGACCATGAAGGCGAATCGGCAGTGGCAGGAGGAGAGGACGGCCGCGCAGCCCAAGGCGCCCCCGAAGGGGCCGAAGGGCGGCGGGGCCGACGCTGGCAAGTAGCAGGGGGCCGGCTGGCCCCCTCCTTGGGCTGGGCGTCCTGCGGCGCCCCGCCCTGCCTGGCTGCCGCCGCGGGTTCCTCCGCCGCGGCCGCCTCCACGTCCTCCCCATGGCATCGGGATCACGCTCCTCGCACGGGGACCCGCTGCCGCTTTCGGTCCCGGGGCCTGGCCCGCCGGTCGACCTCAGCGGGGCGCCGCGGTACCTGCGCCAGCGGGTGCTCCAGCGACGCTCTCGTGAACACCGTGTTCGTGAGGCAGTTCGCTCGATCAACTGTCTCGCCGCCTGCACGGTGCGCCATCGTGGCCGCGGGCCAGGTGGCGCTGCCGATTCAGGGACTTCGGGCACGGCGACTTCGTCCTCGCGTGGCCGGCAGCTCGGCCGCTGCGTGGCGGAGTATGGCCCTCGCCCGGCAGATCCCCACCCTCGCGGAGCCCTTCAGGAGCTCCTCAAGTCCGACTCGCTCTACGGAGGCGCGCCGTCCAAGGTCGTCCCGTACGAGGAGTCCAAGCTCAAGTTCTGGCAGTCCTCGGTCACGCCTCGAGACGTGGAGGAGGTCTGCCCCAAGTTCGTCGTCGACGCCTTCCGCGACCCCGACGCCTACATCCGCAAGCCGGACCGCGTGGTGGGGCAGGACCTCGAGCTCCTGCCGCCGATCAAGCCGTACTGGGACGCGCGGCTTGCCAGCGACGCCGGCCTTCGGCGGGACTTCCTTCTCAGGCTCGCGGGGCGGGGGCTGGTCGGCTTCCGGAGGCGGATCAGGTCACGCGTGGGGTGTTTCTTCGTCGAGAAGAAGGGCGGCTGGATCCGCCTGGTCGTCGACGCTCGCGACGCCAACCGCGCCCACTGGGCGCCCCCGCATGCCGCCCTCGGGACCCCGGCTGCCCTCAGCGAGCAGGACTGGTCCGATGCTGCGCTCTCGGACGCCGGATGGGTTAGTGCTGATGGCTCGCCCGCTCAGATCTTTGGGTCGTCCCTCGACCTCCAGGACTCGTTCTACCAGTTCTTCTCGGAGCGCGTCGCGGAGGATTTCGGGATGGACTTTCCTGAGCGCCCTCCTACTACCAGGTCTCCCACATCTGGACGCCCGACGGCCTGTCCCCTGTCGACCCCGACGAGCTCGTGTTCCCGGTCTTCCGCGGGGTGCCGATGGGGTGGTCATGGGCACTCTGGGCCGTGCACTCGTCCGTCACGTCCTGGGTCTCTGACACGCTGCCGGGGGGTGCCCGACGCCTGCTGCTTGACAAGCAGCCGGCTCCCGTCGCGGCACCCTTCCGCCCCACAGGGTCGGTCTACGTGGACAACGTCTCGTTCCTGGGCCTCTCGAGCGACGACGTCGGGCAGGCGCTGCAGGCCGCGAAGGACAAGCTCGACTCGCTCGGCATCGCGTACCACGAGGTCGAGGGCCCAGCCACGCACTTCACCACCGTCGGCGTCGAGTACGACGGGAGGCGGAGGCGTCTGCGTCATTCCGATCACCGAGCCTGGCGCCTCTACTTGGCCTGTCAGGAGCTCGAGCGCCCTGGGGTTCCGCGCGCGGCCTGGCAGATCCGAGTGTTCCTCGGGCATTGTGTGCAGCACTGCCTGCTGCTGCGGCCGGCCCTCTCGATCTTCCGCCTGCTCTACCGCTTCGTGGACGCGCAGGGTCAGGGGCCCCCAGTCGCACTGTCTGCTGGGGCCCGCCGGGAGATCCAGCTCTTCAGGGGCCTCATCTTCCAGGCCGTCGTCTTCTTGGACCGGCCGATGTCCTCCCTGGTTTTGTGCTCCGACTCGTCCGAGGCAGGCTACGCCCTCCACCGCCGACGCGCTGACGTTCGACTCCTTCGGCAGCTGGCTGCTACCCGGGAGAGGTGGAGGTTCGTCCCCGACGAGAAGCGGCCCGACGCGGCGCTCGACGACACCTTCTCCCCGGGCTGGGTGCCGGGCGCTGGAGGCGTGCTGGGGGAGCCGCCGGGCGCTACAGGCGTGGCCGTCTGGGCCCCCCCGCCGAGGCGCTCGAGGGAGGGCGCCCGAGGCGTGCTCAAGGGCCGTCTCAGGCCCACCGTGCGACCTGCTGGCGCCTCCGTGCCCGACAGCCTCGTCGATCCCAGGGACTGGTCTCTCATCGTGGAGGGCGCCTGGCGCCGCGGGGGGCCCATTCACCTGCTGGAGGGCCGCGTCGCCCTGGGGGGCCTGCGGCACGCCGCCCGGCAGGTCGACTGCCACGGCTCCCGAGTGCTCGGCCTGGGCGACAACATGTCGGAGCTCCTCTCCATCGAGAAGGGGCGGGCCGTGGACCTCGGCCTCGCTTGCCTGTGCCGGAGGGCCGCCGCCTACCAGATCGCCTGCGGGATCTCCTGGCGGCGCCGGCACCTCGACACGGACCGCGACCTCAGTGGCGCGGGGTCGAGGAAGGCGCTGCAGGGCGTCTACCGCCCTGGGCAGCGGCGGGTCGGCGGCAGGTCGGAGTGGCCCGCTCTGCCCGCGGGGTGCCCGCAGTCGGCGCCCCCGACGCCGGCCCCGCCGGCGCCCTCGGCGATCGCCAGCTGGCCAGTCGCCGAGGAGGCTTGCGAGCCTCCCCCCGCGGCGCGGCTGCGCGGCGGCCGACTGCAGTCCTGCCCGCCGCGGCCGCCGCCGCGGGCTCCTGGGGCTGCTGGCCGCTGCGGGCCGCGGCGCGCCCCACGGCCACAAGAGGGGCCCGCAGCCGGCGCCCCTGGCCACCCTGCGCGCAAGGCGACGTGCGACGAGGCTGAGGGGGCCCGCGACCTGTCGCCGCCGGCGGCCTGCCCACGCGGGCGCCGCCCACGGCCGCGGCCAGTGCCTGCGCCGCGGCCAGCTGGGGCCCTCGGACGAGTTGGACGGAGACTCGTGCCGGGGCCTCGGCCCCTTTCTTCCGAGCGGGCCCCGCCACGTCTGGGCCGCTCCGGGCCGCGCGCGCGCGTCGGGAGCGCGCCGCGCGGGCCGCCTGCCCTCGGGGGCTTTCGTTTGCATGCCCGGCCTGGCCGAAAATGGACGACAGAGCCTCCCGGGCTGCCGCCCCCTCCGCCCACGCCGTTCGTCGCGGTCGAGCCGGCTCGCGTTCCTGTACCTCGGCTTCGTGGACGTCGGGCGGCTCTCGAGATCTTCTCGGGGGGGGCTCGCTGGACGGGGGCTCTCGCGCAGGTCGGGCTGGCTGTCGCGGCTCCGATCGACATCAAGTTCGGGGGTTGGGGCGACCTGCTTCGGCCCAGCATCGAGACCGTCGTTCGCCAGCGGATCGTCTCTCGCAAGGTCTGGTTCGTGCACTTCGGGACTCCGTGCACTCCGTGGTCAGTTGCTCGCCGTGGGGCCAATGATACGTCTGCTATACGCGCCGGTCGGCGGTGTGCTCATGTCACTCTTCGTCTACTTCGGTTGTGCGTTCAGTTCGGCGTCAGGTGGTCCCTCGAGAACCCCCGGGGATCCCGGCTCTTCTCTTGGGAGCCTCTCCAGAAGTTCCTGTCCGAGCATAGCAAGGTCTCCGTGGTGTATGACTGCTGTCAGTTTGGAGCCCCGTACCAGAAGCCCACCAGGATTCAGTCTGACCTCCCCGAGCTCGGTATCCTTGGAAGGAGTTGTCTTGGAGGTCATGCCCACGAGCATCTTCAGGGGAAGGTCAAGGTCCGTGATCGCCAGGGTCGGCTCAAGCAGTTCTGGCGCACGACCCTGGCTGGCGCCTACCCTCCTGGTGTCTGCCACAGTGCCGCTCGGGCCTTGGCGCGCGCGGCGCCCGCGGGAGCCTGGCGACCAGATGGGGATCCACTGCTGCCCGGTCACTGGGAGGCTCAGCTCCGCCGTGCAGCCGAGATGGGCGACGACCAGCCGTCCCTCGAGTGCCCCAGCTGCCCGCGGAAGTGGGTCGCGCTCTGGCCTCCCGACGCCGAGGGCTGGGGCCGCTTCGTCGGCCTCCCGCGGCCGCGGGCAAGGCCGAAGCCTCGGCAGAGGCCGGGCGTCGGGTGCCCGGGCCCGCCAGGTGCCCGCTGACTCCTCGCCGGGCTTCCTGCGGCGCTCGCAGGTGCGGCCGGCCACTCAGGCCCGCTACCTCACCAGCGTCGTCGCGTTTGCCACGGCCATGGGCGTTGTCGCCGACCGCTGGGTGAGCAAAGACCTCCCCCTGGTGGACACGCTCCTCGAGGAGTACTTCGAGCAGCTCTACGTCGACGGCGGCAGCAAGAGCACGGCCCGCTACACCTTGGCCGCCTTGGCCTACCGTTTCAGCGTGTCGCTTCGTGCCCCAGGCGTCTTCTCGAAGGCGAAGGGCGCCCTCGCCGGCTGGGGCAAGCTCGAGCCGGACGTCACCTCGGAGCCGCTCTGCTGGGCGGCAGCGTGCTTGATGGCCCTGTACCTGGCCGGCCTCAACACGGAGATTGCCCTGCAGGCCGCCCGCGGCCTGGTGGTGCAGTTTGACGCGTACTTGCGCCCTGGAGAGCTGCTGGACCTCCGCGTGCCCTGCTGCATCCTGCCGCAGCCGAGTGCCGGCTCAGGATACAACAAGATGGGGCTCGTCGTCGGTGCCTCCGCGCTGGTCATGGGTGACGACGTGCACACGCGCGTCACCAAGACTGGCCTCCAGGACGACACCGTGCTCATCGATGGCCAGTCTCGTGCGGGTGTGGCTGGCGCACTCATGGCCCTCGTCAAGAGCGCCAACCAAGCCCGCCAGGGGCGCCTCATGTTCCTCCACTCGTACGCTTCGTACAACCGCTTGCTCAAGAAGGCCGCCGTCGCCGTCGGCCTCCCGACCAAGGTCACGGCCCACCTCCCTCGGCACGGCGGTCCGTCGGAGGACTACCTGAGAGGCGCCCGTTCGCTGGCCGACATTCAGTCTCGCGGCAGGTGGTCGAGCTTCCGTTCTGTACAGCGCTATCAGAAGAGCGGCCGTGCTCTTGCATCCTTCAGACGCCTCTCGGCCGCTGTGAAGGCAGAGGCTAAGCGTGCTGAGGCCTTGCAGTTGTCCTTCCTCTCGTAAGGTGCCTCTCTGCGCTTAGCCTGCTGCAGTGTTCCCTCGGCAAGCCAATGGAGTCGATACGGGATTTACTCCAGCGTTTGATATGGGTTTGATTTCAGGTCTGGCCAGACTGTCAGATTTCTCGAGCTCCTCGGCCGCGTGGGCCAGGGGCTCCCAGTGTTTCAGCTCTGCCGTCAGCCGCCATCGCAAGTGCACTCAGGTGTGGGCCTGAGCTCCGGCGCTGTAAAAAGAAATCGAAGTCCTCGTCACGCCAGCTGTCTTTTTCCGTTAGGCTGACGCCGTTCCGAGTCTCTTGGGACCCACGCCCTGGGAGGGGTGTCCGTTCAAGATTGCATTGCATTTGGTCTCATCGCTTGTGCATTCGCTTTCTCCCCTCCCGCTGCCTCTTCCCCTCGAGCCTTTCTGCCGTCCCGCCCTTCCCACCCAGGGAAACGCTGGAGTGGAAGGCAAAGTAGCTTGGACTTCTGCGAATTCGGGTTTGATTTCAGGTCTGGCCAGACTGTCAGATTTCTCGAGCTCCTCGGCCGCGTGGGCCAGGGGCTCTCAGTGTTTCAGCTCTGCCGTCAGCCGCCATCGCAAGTGCACTCAGGTGTGGGCCTGAGCTCCGGCGCTGTAAAAAGAAATCAAAGTCCTCGTCGCGCCAGCTGTCTTTTTCCGTTAGGCTGACGCCGTTCCGAGTCTCTTGGGACCCACGCCCTGGGAGGGGTGTCCGTTCAAGATTGCATAATCATAAAAAAGTTGTCGCTCCGCGCGGATTTCTTGGATCCGCACTGGGCCCCCCCCCCCCCCCGGCGGCGCCTCCGGCGCCGCCCCTAGCGCGCTCCGCGCGCCAAGGGAGGGGGGGGGAGCCGCGCAGGTTTAAGAACTCCGCGCGGACCGTCGAAAGTTTATATGTTTCTGCCGTGCTCCTTCTTCCAGGTCGGTGATGGGCTGCAGCCCCTGGACCCGAGAGGACAAAGAAGGCACCTGTGCCTCTACCCTTCGGCCCGTTTTCCTTTTTTGGGGGCCTCCCAGGAGGCCCTCGTCTCCACGGCCAGAGTCGCCTCGGAGTCCCGGTCAGAACGCACCCCGAGAGAGGCCCGGAGGATAGCGTTGAGTGGGGCCTGTCCTTCCACAGGAGGAATCTTCCAACATAGTCAAAACATAGTCGGGGGAGAATTTCTGTTACTATGTTTGAGTATCTTTAGAGTGTTTTTTAGTTCGTATTTTTCGTCCAAGATCCGCCTGTGGGGGGACATGCCCGACCTAAGGTTAGCGGTATCGGCACTTCTTGGTTTTCCCAGGACTTCCGCCGTCAAGCACTCCGAGGGGAAGGCCACGCGCGCTTGGGGGACCGGCTGCAGAACTGATGCGCCCCAAGGAGGGGAAAGGCACACAGGCAGAAGCGGTCGTCGATCCTCCGGAAAATCACAGGAAATCGTCGATCCTCAGGAAAATGTTCAGGACATATGGGAAGTGGGGGAGGGGGGAGAAAGTCCGGAATGTACGAGGAAATTCAAGGAATTTTAGGAGTTGTGTTTGTTGATGGTTCCCTGGGTCCTCTCAGCTTCATTTGTTCGTCGAACCTGCAAGCAAAATGCGCAGAAGGTTGGTGGATCTGCTGACGCTCCGCGTTTTTTTTGTGTAGATCCGAGGTGCGTCCGCCGTCGAGCACTGAGAGGGGGAAGGCCGCCGCTGTTTCTGTATGCCCTGTTTCGCCGCTCGGCGCGGGTCCCTGGCCTTCCCCCTCCCCCCTCCCCCTCCCTCCTCCCCCTTCCTCCTCCTCCCCTCCTCCCCTCCTCCTCCTCCTCCTCCTCCTCCTCCTCCCTCCTCCTCCTCCTCCTCCTCCTCCTCCTCCTCCTCCTCCTCCCTCCTCCTCCTCCTCCTTCCCCCACCTCCTCCCCCTCCCCCCTTCCTCTCCTGCCTCCTCCTGCTCCTCCTCCCCCCTCCTCCTCCCCCTCCCCCCCTTTCTCCTCCTCCTCCTCCTCCTCCCTCCTCCCCCCTTCTCCGCCCTTCCTCCTCCTCTTCCGCCTCCTCATCCCTCCTCCTGCTCATCCTCCCTTCTCATCCCCCTTCCTCCTCCTCCTCCCTCCTCCTCCTCCTCCTCCTCTCCTCCTCCTCCTCCTCCTCCTCCTCCTCCTCCTCCTCCTCCTCCTCCTCCTCCTCCTCCTCCTCCCCTCCTCCTCCCTCCTCCCCCTCCTCCTCCCTCCCTCCTCCCACCTCCTCCCCCTCGTCGTCCTCCGC